ATTCATTAAGCTTCTTGATGCTGTAGTTGTCTTGTGTGTGGCCAGTGCCTCTCGAGCTTGGGTTCTGAGTCCTTATGTGTAACTCTGTGTCTTTGATCACACTGATATTGGGTATGAAAAGATGATCCAAGCTTATCTTGTTCTGGGATTTGACCATTTCTTCAAAAACCCCTGGCTTCTTTTAGTGGGAAATGTTCTTTGCAACTAGATTAGGGATTGTTTTTAGGCCTTGTCTGTAGATAGAAGGATTAGCTAGACAGATAAAATACCTCTTGAATTCACCTTGAGAATTCCAATTTAATTCAGAACTGCTGAGTTTTCATTTAACCTGTTGTCTAGTTCTTGTGTGAATCTCTTGTCTATCTATCTGTATTTCCTTGCATACTGAAAATCCTGGTTCTTAAAGGATGATGGTATTAGTTTATTTCACAATCACTCATTGACTGTAGCCCACATTACATATATGTCAGTTTCAGATTCATTATTACCATCAGCAATACAACTATGGCGAATAGCTTACATTTTTCTTTCTTGGCAGGGGGGTAGTGCTGGGGATCAAGCCCAGGGCCTCCCACATGTTAAGCAGACACTTTTTCACTGCACTAAGCTATACCTCAAGTCCCCTCAAAATGTTTGCATGTGTTCCTTTCTTCCCATGTATGCTTTATAGTTCTATATCTCATTGTCTGCATGTTTTCCCACAACATAGTATGTATGCTTCTTCTCAACCCTCATTTAGTTTTAGTTCTACAAATAACATGTGTCTAAACTGAGTTCTACCATGTGGATAAGCTTGTTCGAATCCTTCACCTGAAAGCTCATTTAGCTGGTTATGGAATTTTGGGCTCTCTTCTTTTCCTGTGGGCACCTGATGCTACTCTGGGGTTCTGCTTTTCATATGGGGATTGGTGGCCAGCTCTTGTGCTTTGGTTCTGCAAGGATGGCTTTTTCTTCTGTTTTATTGCAAAGGCACCCACGGGCATTTCCAGTTTACTACTTAATCCCTACCCCCAACCCGCAGTATGGGGAACCGAACTCAGGACCTCGCTGTGCTTGCCAGGCAGGTGCAGCGCCACTGAGCTACATGCCCAGCCCCACTGTGCATCTTCAAATAGATTGAATGTCAGTGAGAACTTCCTGTGGAGGTGATTTTGCAAATATCAGGATCTTCCCTGTAACCCCTGGGCTGAAGGTCTCAGATCTCATGGACTCTGGACTCTGGACAAACTCATAATCCCCAGAAAAAGAAAAAAACCCAGTTGGCACTAATCTGTTCTGACTGTTCTGTACTTATAATCCCTCACTCAGTCGGCTGTTATCAAGATCCAGCTGTATGCCAGACCCTGTGCACGATGTTAGGAATATAAAGCTAATGATCTCCTTCTTTCTCCCCTCCAAGAATGGGGAGATTGCTACACAAATACCAACATGGTACAGGGAAATACTCGCTAAAATAGAAATAGAGACAGCAAGGTATGCTGGGGGGAGAACAGCCCCTATGGACAGCAGTGTCTATATCAGAAAACAAAAGTGCGCATGTTCTATGACCCAACATATAAAATGCATATATTTGGCAAAAGGAAGAATGGAATGTGCCATTATGAGAACAGTTTTTGCTTTAGGGAAAGAACAATGGGTAGTTTTTCTCTTGCTAAAATTTTTGTTATTTCCTAGCCATGATGTGCTTATGTATGTACACACGCACATGCACGCGCACACACACACACACACACACACACACACACAGAGAGAAATATGATCCCTTGCTAGTTTCCAATGCACTTGTTCCCCTTTGGTGCTGGTCACTGAACCCAGGGCCTGGTGTGTGCTTTCAAATGTGTCACCGACTTGATTTCCAAGATCGAGGAAAAGTAGGAAAAGCTGACTGGGAAAATGATGGTGCCCTAAACCCCAGCTGGAATGGTTTTGAACCAGATCCCACGGAAGGGGAATGCCAAGCAGGTGTTTCCAGAGTCTGGAGAGCCTGTCAGCAAGCACGGCAGCACCTTTGCGATGGACAGACACCAGGAAATGGGTCAGGCAGGAACTAGCAGCAGCAGCAACTGCAGGGGAGTACACTGCCCTCACAGTGAGTGCCGGCTTGGTGGGGGCAGTCGCCCCAGGAGTCCACCAGGCTGTGCCAGGCCGGGAAGAGCCCAGGGATGACAGCACAGACGGGGATAGAGTTGTGTGTTCGAGAAAATGGCCCACTGGCACTTTCTGCGCAGACAGAATGAGACCCGAGCTGTGTAAGAGAGGGAGAGATTCTGTTCATCCCGGACAGTCACCAGCCAGCACCACAAGACACATGTGCTTGGGGCAGGCATCACAGTAGCCCACAGGGTTCCCAGAGCCAGCCCCTTCCACATCCCAGCATCTGCCCCCTCCCCCCAGCAGGTAAACCTGGATCTCAAAACCATAAACAAAGGCCTGGTGAGCGTGATGGGGCGGCTGCTCTCCAAGGTCAGGTGGGAGATTTCGAGGACCCAGGAGTTCAGGGCCAGCCCGGGGAAGGATAGCAAGATCCTCTGTCTTAAAAAATAAAGGTTTAGGGCCGGGGATTTGGCTCAGTGGTTTCGTCGCCTGCTGCGCAAGCACAAGGACCTGAGTTCGGTCCCCGGTGCCAAAATAAAATAATAATAATAAAATAAAGGTTTAGAAGCCTCCAGGGTCAGACACTGTCTAAATACTGCTTCTCCTGGCTCCTCTATCCCCTCCCGAACACCCGAGGAGCTGCAGGTGACTCACCGTTTTCAGAAGACGCTAGACAGAGTGTGGTGTCAATGTAGCGTCAGACTTGCTAAATTCGGATAAAGAATTGCTGTGTGTCTGGAAAATGTAATCTTTCAAAATCAAATTCTATTTAATGTGCCTCAAGAGAGCTTGGTTTTTTGAAGAAAATGTTTCCACAGGTGATGGAGGAAGTGGAGCTCTCCGGGGAATGGTCTCTGCTATTTCTTGACTGAGTTCTCTAAAAGAGGCCTTTTCCCCCCTCCCGGGGTCGGGAGAGAGAGAGATGCGTTGCGGATTCGCGTCAGGGATTCTTCCATCTGTGCTATGAGGAAGGAACGCTTTAGGGAGGATGGAAGGATGCTGAGGAGGGCGAGCCTGAGAGCAAGCTCTCAGATGACCAGAATTACGGGGCTGTTTCTCTGGACAACGCAGCCCGAGGGGCTCCCGAGGGAGGAGCTGCCCCGCCCCCAGGGACCTGGGTCCAGCACCGGCCCACACGGCACCTGCCTGGATCCAGTTCAACCCACGATCCGGTTCCAGCCAAGAACCGCAGACCGCGAATCTCACGGCCACCGGAGTTCCTAGGACTCTGCCAAGGCTGGTGTAGATTGAAGGGGAGAGAGAGAGCCAGACAAGCTCACCAGCATTTTTATCTCTAGTGCCCCTCACCCAGTGCTTTTTCCCCCAGTACTGGGAATGAACCCAGAGCCCTTGCACTGAGCTACATCCCCGGCCCTTTTGTACTGTTTTATTGCATGAGATGGGACCTCACTAAGTCACTAAGCTGCTTTGTGGGGTTTACTTCATTCCCTGCTCCAATGAGTGCAACCCTCATCTGAAAAGACCCCCAGCCCTGGCCTGCAGCAGCGTATCTGCAGTGACAGAAGGGATCAGCGCCTCCTGATGTTAAGAGACTCTTTTCTGCTTCTAAACAAAAGCTATTGGTGGTGGAAAATTTCATTTCTCTCTTATTTTCTGCAGGGCAGGACAGGTATGCACCTCTCCAGGTTCTAACAATTACCATATCAGGGTCGTCGCTTGCACGACAAACTTACCCACTTGTACAAGACGTCAGGTGAACTAAATGAAAGTGTAGCTAAGAGGTAAACCAGGCATGGTGGCCTAAACCTGTGATCCCAGCACTCTGAGAGGCTGAGCCAGGAAGACGGGAGGTTTGAGTCCAGCCTGGGAAACTCAGTGACTTAGTGAGACCCTGTCTCAAAATGAAGCGGGTTAGGGATGTAGCTCAGTGCAAGGGCTCCCGCACGAATGACAGAGAAAGCATGCAGGGGCCTGGTGCCGACCACCTGGCTGCACACTGCCCGGCTGCTCACTGTGCCCTAGGATCTGCATCAGTTCCGTCACCGCTGTCTGCCACAACTTCCTCGCCCCTCCCCCAGTCACCCGTAGAGCTGTGAGTGTGACATGCGATAAAGGGTGGCAAACAGTGAGATCTGGGCCTGGTACAGAGAAGCACCCAGTAAACAGTAGCTGTTATTATCCTGTCTTAGTAACTGATTTCTCCCCCACTCTGGGAAAATACCTAGAACCCAGAATCATATCCCTAGCACATTAGTTCTCGGCCCCTTCATTCTGAGTCAGTTTCTGAATTTTCCTAACCAATGAATCCAAATGTAGGCAGTATGAAGAGAGTACTTTTTAATGCCCTCCAGATTAAAGGGAGAAGCTAGCTGCTACAAAACATGGGAAGGGGGCCACCCCAGGGCCCTCTACTCTCAGAGTCATCCACTGTGTGTCAATGAATCTAGTCGCTGCAGGGAAAGTGATTTTATGCCCAGCATCTTCCCTGAAAACATCTGTGCTGCAGGTGGCTCAGCATCCACACTGTGCATTCTCAGGCCAATAAATGCCAATCGTGCGTTGATTTAAGTTGGCTGTAAAACCATCAACAGAGGCAATAAGACCACCAGGCACAGCAGGGGACAGAAGCCACAGCACTGCTCTGATGGCAAATACCTTGTCCTCCTGCACCCACCTACCTCCCCTCCTTCCCTCTCCACACTGGCCCTAGCTTGTAGGGGTGAAGGAGGCGAGTGAGGGGATCTTGCAGGCTCTGGAATATTCGAGTGTGGCTACAAAGTCATAGCACCTAATTACAAAGTGATGAAGGGTTTGATAAGCACACGATCACATGTTTAACCATTTGTAAGCCTACCGTGTGAGTGTACACTCACGTCACTGTGCAACCACGCCCACCACCCACCTCCAGACAGGCGCAGTTTGCTTGGGGTTGTTGGAGACAGGAATCAAGGATAGTGTTTATGAGGCAGGAGGGTCACAAGCTCAAGCCCAGCCTGGGCAACTTAGCAACTTAGTGACTTAGTGAGACCCTGACTCATTAAAAAAAAAATTACAGGTAATTTTGCATGTTGGTTCTACTGGGAGGGCTCATGTGTGATACTCACAGGTAAGTAACAGAGGCCAAGGCCAAATGGGGGTGTCTAACGAGTTCCCTGAGTAGAAAGAGGCCTTCTGGCCTCTCTGAGGGCACTGTGGGCTCCTGTTACGGTCCCTTCTGATCTCCTAAAGGACATCAGTCTTCGAGTGCACTAATATTTCTTAATGTTTAAATGAGTCACGCATGTGTTGAGAGGACAACAATGAACTTAAACCTTGAAGTGAAACAGGGTGCTTGGTCCGCAGTGACAAAAGAAGACGAGAAGTGGAAGGAAGACCGCAGGCTCAGCCAGAGCGGCTCGTGGGCTCTGTCCCCAGCAGCCACGTGTTCCCTTCTCAGCCTCTGAGGTGCCATCCTGAGTGTACGCTGGGCATCCGGCCCAGGTAATGGCAGTCAGGCCAAGTGGACTGTCTCACGCGGCAGGCTAAAGAAAAGGCTTCTCACTGCCCTACTTCAGATAGAGCTTAGAAAAGGCTGGGAAGGGGCCGCAGAGCCAGAGATCAGCAGGAGGGAGATGTGCAGTCAGATTTTCCATGTTGGGAATTGCCTCGGGGAGGGTTATCCTTTCATTCAGCAGATGCTCAGCGAGCCAAGTGTGTGCTGAGTGCATTGGTGATCGGGACAAGCAGGACTTGTCGACCTGGGCTTCACTGTCCAGCTCCAAGGAGGCCGACAATAACCAAGTGACCCCACGACGGCACGTTTAGGCTGCAGGAGGAAGTCTCGGATGGGGCTGGAGGTGCCGCACAGTGGTAGAACATGTGCCCCCGCCTAGGCTCCATCTCCAGTGCTGGAAAAAGAAAGAAAAACTTGGATCAATTTTGTGTATTACATGTGTAGGGAAACTCCCAGTATAGGACACCTTGAGTCGCTGGACAAAATATAAAAACCATGTTCCTGATTTTTGCTCATTTTGTTAGGTTTGCTGTGGTTTGAATGTCACCAGGCTCCTGTGAGGTATGACAAGTGGGACCGGAGGGGACATTTATGTGATCATGTGATAAGGGCAGGGCTCGTGTGAGTGGGTGAGGCCACTTGCGGGCTCACCAGTCACTGAGTGTTGAGGTCAGGGGGTGATGTGTCCCCCAGAGCCCCATATCCTTCATGCAGCAGTGCTCAGATGTGGGGCTTTTAGTAATGCCTGGGGCACGAGGGCCTCGATGCCATCAATGGATGAACCCATAAGTCAATGGATACCGGGAGATGATGGGAATGTTAGGGGGTGGAGCCTTGAGGAAGGAAGTAGGTCACTGGCAGCGTGTCTTGAAGGATAGATATATTAGCCCTTACCCTCCTCTCTCTCCCCCTCTCTCGCTCTCTCTCATTTTCTCTCTGTCTCTGACTCTCTGTCTCTGTCTCTCACCCTCTCTCTCCTTTCAGCCGCCATGAGGTGGGACCCCTTCTCTGACACACACTCCAGCCACCATGATGTTCTGCCTCACCACAGGCCTAGACCAGCAGAGTCGGCCACCCATGGACTGAAACCTCTGAGACTGAGCCAAAATAAATCTTTTCTCCCTCTATGTCGATTTGCTCAGATATTCTGTCACAGCAACAGAGAGCTAACACATTAACTCAAGGGTGGGCCTCTTTTAAAAGCCAGTTTGGCTCTGTCTCTCATATTCTCCTCTCACACATGGTGCTGGTGACACTGGGTCTCTCCAAGTCTCCACCAGTGAGAGACACCTCACAGCTGCAGCCCTTCAACCTTGGAACTCTCAGCCTTTGGAATCATGAGGTGAATGGGCCTTTGTTCTTTATAAATCACCTAGTGTCTAGCATTAGGTTATAGCAACAGACAACGGACTTACACAAAGAGTGATTTACATATCATGAAATTCATTGATTTTGATTGCACACTTCAATGAGCAGTAAATGTACGGGGTCAAATAAGCACTGCCACGTTCATGATACAGCATATCCCCTCGGCCCTCAACATTCTGGCACAGCCTTGGCCCTCCTTGCCCTCAGGAAGCACTAATCAGCTTCCTGTTACTGTAGTTTTGCCTTCTGTAGAATTTCATGTAAATTAAGTCATGTGCTATGTAGCCTTCTGGGTCTGAATGCTTTCATTTAAGCTAATGCTCTTGTGATTTTTTCACATTTTAATATGTCAGGAGTCTGTTCCTTTCTTTGTGTGTCGGTGGGGGTGGGGGGTGCGGGGTGGTGATGGAACCCAGGGCCTGTCCACTGCTACATCCCCAGCCCTTTTAGATAGGATCTTGCCTAGTCACTAAGTTGCCCAGGCTAGGCTCAAACTTGCCATCCTCCTACCTCCTAGAGAGCTGGGATTACAGGCTTGTGCCACCACACCGCACTGGAGGCTGCTCCTTTCTGTTGTCGAATGACATTGCATTGGATGGATAAACCACAATTTGTTTTATTAATTCACTATTGATGGACATTAATTCATTGCTGATGGACATACGAGTTCTTTCTGATTCTTAGCTCTCATGAATAAAGCTGACATAGTCACCTCCAAGTCCTTGAGCAGACATATACTTTTGTCAGAGCCCACAATATTGATTATGCACAAAATATGCTGTAAGCAGTGCAGGCTGCAAAGAGTTCAATCCCTCGATTGGCTCACTTTAAGAAGCGAGTCTGACTGAAGCGACGTGACTCACTGAAGTATCTCATGAGCACTGTGGTAGCGCGCAGATTAACATGACCTCCCCGCTAACGGCCACCTCCAATTACTCCGAGAGTACTGGCCTATGAAGCAGTGGGGCTAATACGAGATAACATCTGTAGCTGAGATTGGAGTAATGGCGCCCAAATTCCATTCCCACAATTAGTGCCTTCATAGCTTGAAGGACAGTGCTCTAATTACAACCGTGTATTTTGTCTGTCTTGCTTCTAATTTGAAAATGCCTTGACTCCTCTTTAAAGCCTTGCCTGCATTAGTTTCCATGGTGATTTCACATACTGCACATCTTTATGTGCACCTTTACCCTGAGTGATGAATAATAAAATTCAGTGGAAGAGATGAGCCAGTGCCTTTTGCCAAAGGAGCATGGGCCGTCCCAGTTCACACTGTCTCTTTAACTCTGTCTTAAGTTTTCCTTCAACTCTGCGTCACGCACTAGGCAGGTGGGGACTAGAGACTCACTGCAGGAGTCTCTGGCATACTTCCATTTATCTAAGGTAAGTACCTAGGCACGGAATGGCAGAATCCTATGAATGGCTCTCAATGACCTTGGTGCTTGAATAACACCTTCCCCTTGGAGTGTGGGTGAAACATATGAATATAATATCACTGCCACAAACATGTTATCTTTTGTTTTTTGGTACCAGGGATCAAACTCAGGACCTTGCACTTGTGAGGCAGGCATGGCGCCACTGAGCTAAATCCCTGGCCCAACACAAACATGTTATCTTACAAGGCAAAAGGAGATTATCTGAGTGGGCCTAATCTGTTCATGTGACCCCTTTAACCACTGTCAAGAAAAAAAAGAAAGAGAAAATATAAAGAGTGTATTAGTACATTTTTGTTGCTATAACAAAATGCCTGAGGTGGAGTATTTTATAAAGCCAAGTGATTTATTTTGCTCATGATTTTGGGGACAGGAGAGTCCAAACAGTGTGGTGGTGTTCTGGTTAGGGCCCTCTTTCATGCATCCAACATGGTGGGAAATAGAAAAGGAAATGGTTACCTGCTGAAAAACTAACTCCACTTGTGAGGGAGGGGCCCCAAGACCTAACTATCTCCCACTAGGCCCCACCTCTTAAAGGCCCAGCATCTCTCAGGATCAGCACACTGGGAACAAAGCTTCTGCACAAAGACATGTGGGGGACAAAGCATGCCAGGGGAATCCAATGTGTCCTTACTGGCTTAAAGATGGAGGGGCCCTAAGAAGAAACACAGGCGGCTTTGGAAGAAGAGAGGGACAGAGAGGCCATATCTGAAGCCAGCAGGGAGAGGGGGACTTCAGTCCTGTGACCAGAGGAACTGGCTCCTGCCAGCAAATCTGGGAGCTTGGGAGAATCCCATCTCAGAGCCTCTGGGAGAAGATTCAGCCTGGCCAACACCTTCATCTCAGTCTTGTGATGTCGCAAAACCTGGCCACAAGAGTCAAGACCTCCGATCCATGCACCCGAGATAACAAATCAATACACTAAGGTCTGGGGGATTTGTCACAGCAACAGAAAAGGAATACATGTGGAATGTGGGTGGTTAGCTTCCTAAGAAACTGCCTCAAAATAAAACCTGAAAAGGACCGGTAATATGGCTCAGTTCAAAGGCCCTGGGCTCAATTCCCATTATTGAAAAACAAAACAAAATAAAACCTGCCAAATTGTTCCCCAAAGTGGCTGCAACACCTTTTACTCCCTCCTGGGATGTAGGAAATTCCAGTTGTTCCACATTCTTGACAGTATTTGCACTGTTAGTCTTTTTCAATTTTTAGTGCTATTTTACTGTGGTTTGATTTTGTTTACAATATTGGGGATTGAATCCAGGTGGTGCTGAGCTATGGTCTTGGTCTTTTTTCTCTTTTTTCTTCTTTTTTAGAATCTTTGTAAGTTTCCCAGGCAGGCCTCAAATTTGCAATACTCCTGCCTCAGCCTCCCAAGTAGCTGGACTCACAAATTACATGCATTGTGGCTTTGATTTGTACTTCCCTAATAACAAAGGATGTTAAGCATCTTTTTTCAGGCTAATTTCAAATCCATGTATCTTCTTGAGTGAAATGTCTGTCCAGATCTTTAGCCTGTCTTTTAAAAATTGGATCAAAAGGACCGGGGATTTAGCTCAGTGGTTCCACCGCCTGCCTCATAAGCGCAAGGTCCTGAGTTCGATCTCCGGTACCAAAAAAAAAAAAAAAATTGGATCAAAGCACTGCTGGGTCAGTGGTGAAGGAAAGGAAATAGACAGCAGCTTGGTAGAAGGCAGCTTGGTCGCACTGGGGATCAGGATGGCGCAGAGAGGTTGGGGCATCTGCCAGTCCCTGGTAGCTGAGGCTCAGTTTCAAGGAGCTGCATCTAGGACCAGAAGATAAAATGTCCAGGCCTCAAGCAAAGTGGTGGCCTGGGGTTGCTCAGAAGAGCACTTGCCTAGCGCGCCCGAGACCCTGGGTTTGATCCCCAGTGCCACAAACAACGACAACAACAAACATAAGCAAAAACACACCATATGAAGCCAGAACCCCCACCCCCAAAGACAGCACAGTTGTTACCCAAGGGGAAAACTCTCCTGCAGGATTTGCTACCCACCCCAGTCTGGCTGTGGGGAAGCCTGGGAAATGCTTGCTTGAGAATTTGCAGCTCGCACTCCCACTTGCACCCGTGTGAGCCGGAAATGGATACCCATACGGACTGCAAACCGAAAAGGTAAAATTGATTTTAAAGTGGCCCTGTCACTTCCTGCTAGCGGCAGGGCCCACCCACCTGAGCACTGCAGTCAGCACAGCGCATTCCCATAGGCGAAACTCCAGGCGCGTGAATTCACCACCGTAAAAAGCAGGACGTGAGCAAGGAACCAGGACGTCACAAGCTGAGACGACAACCTGCTGAGGCAAACCTACAGACTCACGGCTGGGCACAGAATGTGAAATGAGTATGTTGATATTTTGCTAAAATACGATAATGGAAATAAAAGTATAACATGGAACAAAGCATTCAAAGTTGAGAGATTACTTAGAAAAAAATGAAAAGTAGATGCTAGCTGATTCCTCAGTAGCAACGGGAAAGCCAGAAGTAAGTAGAATATGTTCAAAGCACTGACTGAAAATAACCACGAACCCAAAATTGTGTCAAGTATAATTATATTTCAAAAACAAAACCAAAGTAAAGACATTATTAAACCCAAACTGAGACAACAGAGTAAAAAGACAACCTTCTCATTATAAATCTTTCTAGGGTTCTACTTTAAGGAAAAGGAGAATGATTCCAGAAAGAAGTTCTGAGTAGCAAAAGGAATGATAGGAAATATAAGTAAAACTGTGGGACCGGGCTTGGGGGTGCATTCCTGTAACTCCAGCACTCTGGCAGGCTGAGGCAGGAGGATCACAAGTCCAAACCCAGGCTGGGCATCTTAGCAGCTTCAACTGTCAAAATTTTTAAAATTTTTTAAAAGGCTGGGGGTGTAGCTCAGGGAAAAGGCCCTGGGTTTGATTCAAGGACCAAAAATCAATAGAAATCTGAAGTAAATAAATAAATCAAAGAAAAAACCCAAATTATGGACAAATACAAACAATATTATATATATAAAATAATATCTAATTGAAAGTTTAAACATATCAAAGCTAAAATTAAAACCTTAGAAAAATAGTCTAAAAATCAACACTAACACATATACTCTAAAGAATGCATCCTTCGTCAGGCACTATCTCACTTAATCCTTCTAATCTCTCTCCAGCAAGGTGCTATTACTATTTTCACCTTTCACATGAGGAAATACAGCCAGATCTACCTGACTGTAGTCTTAACCACTCTACCATATCCTGGCAATATTCACCATGGACAGGCAAATGTGGGGTCACAGTGCAGTTCAGTGATACAGCATGTGCTTATTATGTTAGAGACTTGGGTTCAATCCCCAACACAGGGGGGAAGGAATTAGCAAGTGGAAAGCCAAAAATATCTCCAAACCATCACTGTCATCCATATAACACACACACACACACACACACACACACACACACACGCATGATTTTGAAAGTGTGGAATCATAACTATTTACTGTTTTGAATTTCACTTAATATTACCAATTAGTATTATAGTCTGAATATAATCATCTTGCTCTTAATTATTCTTTGGATAGACATTTTTTATGATTGCTGTTATGGCTTGTGTCTAGATGCCCCCCTCCCCAAGACTCATGCACTCATAGGTGGGGTTTTTGAGAGGTGACAGGATCATGAGGAAGTGATGCTCCTCAGTGTCAGTCTACTGCTGAGTTTACAGATAAACGTAATTTGGGAGATGAACCTGGCTGGAGGAGGAAGATACTGTGGGTGTGGCCTGGCAGGTCTCTCTCTCCCTCCTCCTCCCTTGATCACTCTGTTTCTCAGCCTCCAGGCCATGAGCAGTTCCCCTCTGCGATTCCCGTCTGCCATGCCACCCTGCCTTGGAGCCAGCCGACTATGGACTGAAACCTCTACAAACTGTGAGCTACAATAAAACTTTTCCTGCTTTAGGCATTGTGGGTCTTGGGTATTGCATCTCAATGACGAAAAAAGTAACTAAGACAATTGCTTTGCTTAGTTTTTGTTTGTTTTGCAGTACTGGGGACTGAACCAGTACTACCCTTTGCAGTGAGCTCTAACTCCACCCTTTTTAAAATTATTATTATTTTTGAGACAGGGTCTCAGTAAGTCAATAAATTGCCCAATCTAGGCTGGAAGTTGTGATCCTTCCACCTCAGCATCTAAGCATGCTGTGATTACAGGCATGCTCCACCATGCTCTGCATGCTTAGTGTTTTTAACCTCCTTACGCTTATACTTCTTCCTTCTAAAATGTTCACTGTTAATATTTGTTAGAAACAAAGATGATTTAGTTAATATTTTTCATTTTCTCAAACTTGAAATGTGGATAGCTGTTCTGTAGCTGGGTAGATGTATTTTGCGAATAAACACTGTTGCTCCAGCTTTCTTCATATTGTTAACTCCAGGTCCCCCTCTAGGTAAAACAAGCCAGTGGGCATGGTTATTTAAAAACAAAATGGTATGTGCTATAAAGCAGAATCAGGATACAACATGTGAATTTTCAAAACAAAAATTTGATGGTTCTTGACAAAAAATCTTTTTGCTTTATGCAGAAATTCTCCTGTATATTTTCTTTTAGACACACTTGTTTCCTTAGAGTATGAAAATGTCACTTGCTTTATAAATATTGGATGCATAGGAAACTTTTCAGAAATGCATTTATTTGTGATTTTCAAAAAGATGCATTTGTACATAAGGTATGTCAGTCGTGATCCAGAGATTAATATCGTAGGTCTACAATGTGTATAAAATCTCATCAATGCGAACCTGTCACTAATTTTAAACTTTTAATAGCTCAGATAAGGAATATATAATTTATCATAAGGAGAAACCAGTATGGGACATGTGTGCATGTGTGCAGTCTTTTTTATGCCTCACCTGAACTTTTTTAACTTGTTTCATTTTACCCTGTAGTATTTATTTGTGGTTTGATGAGTGTAAACTGTCCTTCGCCACAAGTAACCAGGTAGCATGTGAACATTTAAATTTGTAATAAATGTGATCTCTTCCTTCACGTTGCCCTCTTTCCCTGGCCACACCTTCTCCTGAAACTATGAGCTGTTGTAACCATGTATTCAGCTTAGTCTGATGGCGCAGGCTGTGTTGGGAGCAATTCTTCAGTTTCTAAGCAGGAAGTCATCCATAGTTAGCATTATCCCCAGGAGTTCTCCCATTTCACAGGTAAGTCCGGGGCTTTCCCTCCTTCCTACTTGGGGCAAGTTAGTGCTCAGTGAAGGGAAAATAACTTTTAAGTAGTGTCTTAAGCAGCGTGAGGGAAATATGCTGGAGAGAATGACGAAACCCATTCCAAAGGGAGTACAAACTCACCTGGAAGGGAGGGGTGGGCGAAGCAGTGCCCGACCCTGAGACACAGTACCGGGCTGCTCCCCTGCAGGCTCCAAATATCACTGTCTTCCCGTCCATCCACCCGGAGAGCCCTTGAATGGATGATTTCAAGCAGGCGAACCCTGACACTCTTCTTGGCGCGCCTAGCGCTGCGCCGCGTCGCAGTTGTCAGGGTGACAGCGCCCGGGCTGGAAGAAATGCGCTCCAGGGTTTCCAAGAAAACCACTCCGGGGAGAGGCAGGTGCGGCGATCCGGGCAGCGCGGGGGCGGGGCGCGCGGGGGCGGGGCGCGCGGGGGCGAGGACCCCGGCCGAGGGGCGTGGCCGGGCTGCGCGCGCCCGAGCGCTCAGTGAAACCCGCAATTCTCAGAAAACAGCTTTCAGTGGTGTCTTGGCTCGGGCATCCGGCTTGCGGAGCAGCACCCTACCCGCTTCCGGCTTGAGACCCGGGGCTCTGGACGCAGCAGCCTGTGCGTTGGAAATGATCCAGGTCCACGAGGAGCCGCCGCGGAGCCCCCCGAAGCCGTAAGGCTCTGCTGGCCCGAGTCCGGGCCCAGGCGCGACCGCGGCGCGGGGCCCACGGCGGGACGCGGGCGGATGCGGGCTCCGGGGACGGGGTCGCGGGCCCCAGGGTCGCTCCCGGGCGTGCATGCGGGGGAGGGGCGCGCCGCCCGCCGCGGGGGTTAAGCCGGGCGCGGAGCAGCGCTGGCGGGAGCGCGTCGGGAGCAGGGGGTTCGCAGGCGGCCGTGCGCAGGCTGCCGGGCGCTGACTGCACCCAGCTGCTGTGCGGAGGCGTGCGTGGGGACCGCTGCAAGCGTGAGTACGCGCGGGCGGCCGCGCTCTCCCCCACCCCGGCGCTGGGGCCAGCGGGCGGGCTGCGGGGTGTTAGTCACGGCCCGGGGCGGCCCGTGTTGGGGACGGGTGCACAGAGGGCCAGGGCCTGGCACCGATGCAGCAGCTCGGCCCAGCCCCGCCGCTCGCCTGTTCATTCTTTGTCGAGAAAGGGGTGAGGCCGTGTTTTAGGCTCGGAACAGGGAGATGAGCAGTGCTTTCCCCGCCCGCGCCCCCTCCCCCCCAGCGCACGCGACCGCAGCCACCGCCCTGCGGGGACCAGGTGTGTGGGCAGCGCCGCTGTGTCCCAGCCTGGGGACCTCGGCGCCCGCGGCCTTTAGGCTGCCTTCGCGCTGTCGCCCTGGCCCAGATCCTTCCCTGCCTTCCTTCCCACCCCGGCCCGCGGCGCTCGCTCGTCCTCATGGAGCGTTTTCTGGAGAGCGACAGAAAGAGGAAAAGATCATAATTCCCTGCTTTGGCCCGGGGTGTGATGGGAAGGGGTGTGGCTGGTTCTCGCTCTTGACCTCGAGGGAATCTTGAAGTCCGACTCGGCTGGACGAGACTTGCAGCCCCGCGGAGCTGGCGTGTGCGAGCTCTCCGTGGCTTCCGTCCTTCCCAACCTTGGGCTGGGACTGGGCCGAGTGGTGCACACCAGGCCCCCGCTCTGAGCCCAGCCCGGTCGGCTTAGCGGCTCAGTGAGACGGTGGCCCAAACAAAAGGTAGGAAGGGCTCGGTACCCAAGTCGGTGCGAGGACTTGGGTGTCCAGTCTCGAGAGGAAAACAGAACAGAAGAGAACGGAAACCGTGGTTGACTTCGGTTTCGCGAGTGTCTGGTTCAGGCCCGAGTGTTCCACGGAGACGCAGGCTCTGCCCTTGTCTGACCCAGAGCCCGGCTGCTGGGGTCTGCGGTCTGCGGTCTCCGCGGCTTGGCTTCTTGGTGTTGGTTTCTTCTGTCTGGTCCCAGTGTCCGGGCTGCTGGCCGCCAAAGACCTCGCCTTCCCTGGAAGGTCTGTGGGGAACGCCAGCGAAGAACTGCGGACCGACTTCCGGCTCCCACACCTCAGTCTGCTCACCCACAAAGTGGGTTCTGTCCACTCAGCAAAGTCCTGTCTAACGCTCAGCTGAAGAGGCTGAGATGTGTGCTTGACTTAATGAAAGTACAGAGGAACGAAAGGAAAAGCATACAAAGTGAAAACATTTTTTAAAAACTCACAGAAGCAGCCGAGCATGGTGGCACGCAGCTGTAATCCCAGCACTTAGGAAGCTGAGGCAGGAGGATTGGCACAGGTATGAGGCCAGCTTGAACTGCATAGCGAGATCCTATCACAAATAAATGGAAAATAAAGACTCAAAGAAGCAGTAATCAAATGTAGATTAGAAATTGGCTAAAAACAGACTGCTCAATTGATTGGGCATTACTTGATTTATGGATTAAAAACTGAAACTCTGTGGGCAGACACTTTAATTTTACACATCAAATTATGGCCCTGACCCCAAAACAAAGCTTGATATTTGAATTTGCCTCAAATCTGGATTATCCATCCTAGAGTGTGGTTTTCAGATTTTTGCAAGCAAGTCTCTTTTTAATAAAAACCAGATTATGATTAAGTAAGAGTGTTGTGGAAAGAATGTTATGTGATTCACTGGCCTGAGCCCAGGGATAGGTATTTTTGCCGAGCTCCCTGGGCGGAAGTCAGGCGGATAACTTGGTCCAAGCTCCGAGGCTGGTTTGTGGCTGCAGGGCTGGGCAGGGAGCATCCACCCCTGGCCCAGCGAGGGAGTGGGGGTTGGCAGGGCAGACACATGTCAGCGGACTTGCCAGTCTTCGGATTTGGTGGCACTGGGACTCTAGCTTTCATTTATTAATATGAGTAATAACTCCATGAAGGTTTGCAATGAATTCACAGTAAAATTTTGGAAAGTGTGTTTTGCTTGCCCCACAAAACACCCAACCTTCCTTCCTTTCTCTCTCTCTCTCTTTCTTTTTCTTTCTTTCTTTCTTTCTTTCTTTTTGCTAGGGATTAAACTCAGGGCCTCACACATACTAGGCAAGTGCTGTACCACTGAGCTACACCTCTATCCCTTCTTATGTTTTATTTCAAAACAGGGTCATACTAAATTGGCCAGGTTGATTTTGAACTTGGAATCCTCCTGCCTCAGCCTCCAGAGTAGCTGGGTTTACAGATTCTTTTTAACATGAAAAAGCATGTCATGGTCTTATTCTTTCTGAAGGCCCATGTCTTCATGGCCTGAATGTCAGCAGAGTGAAGAACTCTCTAGTTCCCACTTCCCTGGCTGGTGCCTGCAGATTGATCACACCTGTCTCTTCCCTTCCTGCCTCTGACTGAAGGCCTGGGGACTGTCCTGGAGCTGCCTCCTGCTGCCTGTTCCCAGAGACCTGGGGAGACAGAAACACAGTTGTCCTTGCCCATAAACAGCACTGACATCGATGGGTAATCCTTAGAGCTGAGATCCCAGAAATCCCCGTTCATGGGGTCCTTGAATTTCCCTCTTAAACTTCCCACAAAAGCAACAGAAAATTGCATGTCTCCGTGAGCAAGCAGGAAGCATTCAGTACAGCTCTGTGGACACAAGAACATCTTTGATAAAAGCAGAAACAATTCAGATCTAGCACTGTGACGTGGCTGGATTCTCCCTGCCTCCCACCTGTGGGTTAGGGCTTTGTGTTCTGGTGTGGTTTATTTTGACACGTTATAGTTGCACATATTATGGGGTGTATTCGCAGCTTGGATGCATGTTTACATCACACAATGATCAAATCGGGGTGATTAGCATATCCATCACCTCAGACATTTATCATTTCTTTGTGGTAAGAACATTCAGAATCATTTCTTCTAGTTCTGAGGTACTCAGTACATTTTTGTTTAACAACAGTCACCCTTCCTTGCAACAGAACCCAGGGACTTGCTTCTCCCACCTAACTGCGATGCACACATTGCTCAGCCTCTGGCCCGACTCCGCGCCCCGGAACCACTATTCTCCTCTGCTTTTTTTCCCCTTGTATTAGTTCATGTTTGCAGTACCTAATATTTGCATTCCTCACATGAAGCTGGTTCGTGTACACAGCACGTCTTCATTCCTTTTTCATCCCCTCCCTCCTCCTCCTCCATCTCTTGATCCCTTCCCATTTGAGAAAGATCTAGCTCCCTGTTTCCTATTATCTATCTTTTATTTTGCTCTTTATTTATATTTTGGGTCTGTCTGATTTATTTCACTTAACATTATGGTCTCAAGGAGCATCATTTTCCTACAAATGACTCAAGTTCATCATTCTTTATGCCAGAGTAGTACTCCACTATATGTAAATACCTCATTTTCTTTATCCACTCATCTGTTGATGAACATATAGGCTGCTACTTTTATGATGTCAACCCTTTTAGATTCCACATACGAGTGAGATCACACAGTACTTGCCTTTCTGTACCTGACTTATTCCCTACAAATAATGTCCTTTATGCCCACCACGTTGTCACAAATGACAGGATTTTATCCTCTTTCTGGTGGAATAGTACTCCCTCGTTTATCCTGTATCTTGGCTACTGCAGGTGTGCAGATGTGTCTTGGGCCTACTGATCTCGTTTCTTTGGGATATGCAGTATACCCAGCAGTGGGGTTGGGTGGTCCTATGGTAGTTCTCTTTTAATTTTCTGAGGAACCTTCATGCTGTTTTCCCCAGTGCCTGTACTGATTCACATTTCCACCACCAGCGTAGAAGTCCGTCCTTTTTCCCCGTGTTAGGGATGGAACCCAAGGCCTCACGAATGCTGGTCTTGCCCTTTCTTTCACGTGTAATTAATTTTTCTGACTGCCAAGGCCTAGCACTCTAAGGGCTGCATCTTCTGCATGTGAATACACAGCTGTCTGGCGCCATTTATGGAAGAGGCTGTCTTTTCCCGACGTGTCTGGTTGGCGCCTTTGTCAGAAAGGACTGCGGTCTTATGTTTAGCTCTTTGGGTGAATGTGGAGAACAAGTGTAGGGGACAGTTTGGGCATTGGAAGGCAGAACACTTGCTTCTGTCTGGCTGTCGCCCTCACTGTGGCTCTAAGGACAGGGCAGTGTGTCCTTGTTCCCCGGTGATGATGAACTAAGAGCTAGGAGGACACCGAGCCCGGTGTGGCACAGTGGTGGAGACGGGCAGTGGATCAGGCACCTGCCCCAACACTGATTCCCACCAGCAGCCCCTGTGCTAAGCAAAGGTGCACAGAGCATAAACACATACACAAGTCGACCCTCATTAGCAGCTTCAGCGTCACTTTCCCTGGGCTCCGAGGAAACAGGCAACACTAGTGTGGCGAGCAGGGGCCACTTCTCCCACTTAGGGCCAGGAAAACCTCCCCAGGTTGTGGCCCTGTGGCCTCAGGGCTCCTGCCAGTTCCTCAGCTCTGCAAAG